GTATGGGCTACCAGGAAGCTGCGGCACTACTTGTTAGCTCACTCCGTAATGTTGGTTTCACGTTTGGATCCCATCAAATATCTTTTTGAGAAACCAGCACTTACGGGTAGGCTAGCTCGTTGGCTGCTGTTGCTCTCCGAATTTGATTTGAAGTATATAACGCGCAAGTCAGTAAAAGGGAGAGCGGTAGCGGAGTTCCTTGCCGACCACCCGGTTGAAGGGGATGAAGCGGTTGAGTAACTATTCCCAGATGAAGCGATTCTGCATATCGAGGATGAAACTTGGACGATGTACTTTGACGGAGCGTCAAAATCAATACGGAGATGGGATAGGTTGGCTTGATAGCACCACAAGTCCGTATCCCTCTAGCCTTCAAACTCCGGTTCAAAGTCTCGAACAACGAAGCAGAATATAAGGCATGCATTGCCGGTCTAGAGGCAGCCCTGGAACTAAGGGCAAGACGGTTGGATGTCATCGGGGATTTGAACCTTGTTGTGTCTCAAGCAAAAGGAGACTGGAAAGTCAAAGAAGGAAAGATGATGATGTATCACCAGACCTTGGACTTGTTAATTCCTAGGTTCGAGAAGCTAAACTTTGCTCATCTTCCAAGAGAGAACAACAGGTTCGCAGATTCTTTAGCAACTCTATCTTCCATGATAGACATCCCGTTTGGAATCCGGATGCGTCCAGTCGTCATTGACCAGAAATTTGCACCAGCCTACGAGTCGATTGCTGCTATAGATGAGGTTCAGGACGAAAACCCCTGGTATTATGACATTTGGAATTTCTTTGAGAAGGAAGCATACCCACCAGGGGTGAATGCCAAGGATAAAAGGGCAATCAGAAGAATGGCCGTTCAGTTCATCATTTGTGGGGGTAAGCTGTATAAGAGAAGTCATCTGGGAATGCATAAGTTGTGTGTCGAAGCCGAGGAATCAAAGCGTCTGATGGAAGCCATCCATGGAGGAGAATGCGGTGCACATATGAACAGAGTAATGCTAGCACGGAAGATCCTCAGACAGGGTTACTACTGGTCCACCATGGAGGAGGATTGTATCGGTTTTGTCCGGCGATGCCACAAGTGCCAAATTCATGCAAATCACATGAACATCCCGCCGTCGAAGCTGTACAATATGACTTCGCCATGGCCGTTTTCAGCTTGGGGAATTGATGTGATCGGGGCTGTCACTCCGAAGGGGTCGAATGGGCATGAGTTCATCCTGGTCGCGATAGATTATTTCACAAAGTGGGTCGAGGCCCAATCATATGCGGTGTTGAAAGCGTCACACGTTGCAAAGTTTATCAGAAACAACATCATCTATCGCTATGGGGTCCCAAACGAGGTCATTTCAGATAATGGTTCCCACTTCAAGAAGGAAGTGATTGACTTGTTGGAGAAATACAACGTGGCTTTTCATAAGTCATCCACATACAGACCATAAACCAACGGAGCGGTCGAGGCCGCCAACAAGAATATCAAACACATACTGCAGAAGATGGTGGAAACCTACCGGGATTGGCTAGATAAGTTGCCATTTGCTTTGTGGGGCTACAGGACTTCAATTAGAACTTCTACCAGAGCGACTCCGTATTCACTGGTTTATGGAATGGAGGCCGTTCTACCTATCGAGATTGAGGTTCCGTCATTACGGGTATTGGCTGAGTGTCAAATAGCCGAAGTAGATTGGCAGCAGAGCAGGTTTGAGGAACTCATGCTTTTTGATGAGAGGAGACTGAAAGCACTGTACCATGTTCAAGGTTATTAGCGCAGAATTGCCCGGGCTTTCAACAAGAAAGTTAAGTCCAGGAATCTAAAGGAATGAGATTTGGTGCTCAAGGACAACCGAGCTCCCATCCACGACCCAAGGGGCAAGTTCAGACCTAATTGGACTGGTCCCTATATCATCAAAGCTATCTGGTCAGGTGGAGCTGTGGTTCTCATGGATCTAGATGGCTTGGAGTTCTCACAACCGATCAATATGGACAAGTTGAAGAAATATTACCCCTGAGAGGCTCGCTAGGCCGAAAACCCGAAAGGGCGACCTAGGCAAAAGTTAGAGCACAAAAAATTGGAAAATATAAAAACTGAGCTCGCAAGGTTGAAAACCCACAAAGGGCGACCTTGGCAAAAGTTGTAAAAGGAGAGTGAAAGTACCCGAGTGAACCTAAGCCTGAACTACGTAAGGCTTGATTCCCATCTTTGGGATACGTAGGCAGCTTCACCCTGAAGTTCAGCCATAAACTTTTCCCCGATCAACTTTGTCCATTTTGACCATCTCAGTCATCTTTATCCATCAGCATTTATCGCAATCTCCGGTGCAGTGCTATTCAGACTAGGGGCAACTTTCCGTTGCCACACGTTGTCGCGGTATTATTTAGACTAGGGGCAACTTTCCGTTGCCACACGTTATCGCGATACTATTCAGACTAGGGGCAACTTTTCGTTGCCACACGCTGTCGCGATATTATTCAGACTAGGGGCAACTTTCCGTTGCCGCACGTTATCGCGATACTATTCAGACTAGGGACAACTTTCCAGTTGCTAGGATCCGGGATTGTGCATCTCAATGACAGATCTTAGGCGTGTCCAGTTCTGATCCATATCGAAAATGGTTTTGAAAAGTTTTAATAAAAGTTGACTTTGTTCAAATTAATCTCTTTACAACTAAGACCATTTTTGGACCAAAGCGAAAATTTTCAGTACCACAACCTTCAATTTCATTGATTTCAAAACAGAGTTCTCCTGCTCTTGCATACAATCGAAGTTGCTTTTTTATTACATTCATAAAGAAAACTTGAAAGTACTAGTAAAGCAATAAATCTGGGACATAGTCAAGTCAAGTGTCCCTGCGCCCCCTCCCAGAGCTGGTCGAAGCCTCTGATGCCAAGCTAGGCCCAATCTGTGCCTCCTCATTGAGCCAATCCAAGCACTCGTCAGACAAAGTGCAACTAAAAGTGGGAGCAGGGGCCAGGAGCTCTCTAGTCCTCCATGTTGTGGCATATCGGGCAAGCTGTGCACCTCGAACCGGGAAAGCAGCCGGGTACTCAATCCCCTCTGGCGGGGCAAATCTGATCATGACCGAACTGGCGTAGGAACCGGAACAGAATGTAGAACACACAGTGGGTCAGACCAATCAACTGGATCCCGATCAGCCGGGACATGCTATAGCTCATTGCCGGGAGATTGAGCCAGGGACAACGCCAAGCAACGCGATCCGCAGACAAATCGCACATCCAGTCAAACCACCACCTTTCATCAAGGGCATCAACTAGGCGCTGTCGAAAGAAATAGCCTCGAGCTGAGTAGGCTGGGTAAGAATCCACAACCTGCAATTTGTCCATCAACCATACCTGGGGAGGGATGAAAAATGAGAGAATAAAGAATAGAGAGGTGTACGATGAGAGAAAAGTAAGACAAGGGTTTTGTGAGAAAAATCGAGCCTGAGGGCCGAGTGATGTGAGCAAATACATATGTAAGATTGGATGGGAAACATTACTTGCAGTAGCAGTGGACTCCCAGCAAATCTAGTTGTCTCCGGCGATGGAAAGTATCCAAGCCCATCAGCGTCTCGGCCAAGGTCATGGCGATGCAACTCTTTCCTTCTTTCAAACCTTGAACAACTTCAATCAGATGGATGCTAGATCCGCCAAAGCCCGGGGAAAGCAGAAAGTGAGACAGCAGGCACAAGCAAAGAGCGTGTTGTCGGAGACCTTGCCAACAATGATTGTTGCGGTCACCAGCGTCAGAAAAGCGATAAATCAGACCGAGGATATTCAGTTCCCCATTATAGATCAGAGATCGAGCATTATGCGCGGTGAGTCCACACATCTGCCCTAAAGCTTGGGCGTGGCCAAAGCGAAACTGGGGCAAGATCTCTTCACGACTTTCAGATTCCATCAAAACTTGAAAATCTTCAAAAGTCGGACATACCTCTTGCCCGCCAAAGCTAAAGACATGCGTCACCAGGTTCCAAAACCTCGCCACGGCATGGAGAAAAGGAAGGTGCAGTGGAGTGCGACTCAGCGTGAACAGTGCATTCAAGCCGAAACCCCGGAAGTTCAGCTTTTCCGAACCATCTAGAGAAGCGATCCAAGCTGTGAGATTTTCAACGAGAAACGCCTCCATTTTGGTGCAAAACTAAGATGAATTGAATGAACCACGGAGCTAAGGCTTTTAAAGAGGGAAAGACACTATTCAGGGGACAAGTGTCAAAAATTTGACGGTTGCTGGACTAAGTGGCCGGCCGGCCACCTTTTCTGGCAGGCCGGCCATTTCCTTTTTCAAAAATTGGCCGGTGGCCCCCCCTTGCAATAAATATGGCTGGCCGGCTCCAAAAAGTAGCCGGCCATGCTCCAATGTGTGTCTTTAGCCTTATTGTACCCTCCAAGAGAAAGTTTCAAGCATTTCCCTGCAACGGGTGTGTCGAAGGCCTCCATTTCCCTCTGTCTTGGATGCGTTCCGTTGCCCAAATCGTCCGAAGTACACTTTGAGTTGTTTGTTTTGTTTATCGAGTTGTTGTTTTGTTTATCGAGTTGTCGTTTTGTTTATCGATTTGTCGTTTTGCTTATTGAGTTGTTTGTCGAGTTGTCGTGTTTCGTGTTTTTGAGTTGTTACACTCTGTTTAAGCGATTTTGTTTGAGTCTTGTTTATTGAGTTGTCATTACTATTTTGTTTTGCTTATCGAGTTGTAAACTTGCTAAGGTTTTGTTATATCGTAGGAAGGTAAGATGTTGCGTCGGTTCACTACTTGACTGGACAAAATGCACAATGCACATTTCCATTCGATCTCATTTTGGTGCAAAATGATGCGATGATGCCAAAAGTTTAAAATACAACACTTCTTTCAAAAGCTGTTTCATTTCATCATGCCTCGTTTGTTACAACATTTTACAGACTAAGGCACAAGTTTTACAAAAATAAAACTGCCCGATAATGTACAAATGTGCTACAACTACTAGCAAAAAGATAAATAAAACAGGAAACAACTGCATCTGTGCTTTTAGGAGCAGTAATAAGAGGCCTTCTTCGTCCTCTTCTGCGGAATGGACTCCCCGCCACCATCGCTATCGTCATCATCTGAATCAGAGTCGTCACCCTTGGGATCCCCCTCAGCCTTGCCTCCACTCTCGGAACCGAGACCGGAGCCGTCCTTTCTGTCGGCTGACGTCTCTGACTGACGATCTGCAGCCTCCTCCTCCTCATCCTCATCGGGCTCCTCCTCTATAATGTGTGCCCTGCGCCTACGAGACGGGCCCCCTCCAGCTCCTCGAAAAGGCCTGGATGGCCCAGCTCCGTGAAAAGGCCTGGATGGCCCAGCTCCGTGAAAAGGCCTGGATGGTCCATCTCCGTGAAAAGGCCTAGATGGCCCAGCTCCCCGAGAAGGCCAGGTGGCCTGGCCTGCGGCTGATCGTATACCGGGGGCATCTGAAAATAAAGAGTGCAATTTGAATACATCAGCTCAAAATGTGTGTATCAGATACAGATGCAAGCAAACTACATGAAATGAGGATGCATGCAGATACAGTATAGGAATGTGATGTGTCAGATGTGCTCTACACAAATAGCCTATCAATGCAATAGAAGTCAGCATATCATCAGGAGTATGATAAATGCCAGAAAACTAAAGGGTACCTGGAAGCCCATGACAGACAGCTGCGCCTCTCTCCGCAAGACCATGCCCTCGAGTGAGGCCACTAATCCAATCACCCCCTCCATGTACTCTCTGGGTGGCTGCAGATACAAGCTCATAATCATCAGTGAATAAAGGAATGTTTAAATCTTTGAATGATAGATGAAAAACAGTGGGGCATACCGGCGGTGAGTCGGGATCAATGGCATATCGATGATTAGGCATGGGAGGCTCTATCGGAATCGTATAGGAGGTCCCGTATCGCCATCCTGTCAACTCGGTCGGCATGTCTGGCCATCCGGCATGATGATAAGTCGGAGGAATCGGGGGAACCAACCCACCCCCACCTCTAGATGTACTAGCCCTGCTAGTGGAAGGGGTGTCTACAGCCCGAGCCCGGGCCTGGCTCGAAGATGGCATGCTAGCAGGCCTCATCGTCGGAGTACGAGCTCCCATCAATGGAGGCATCAGGTATATGTGGTGGTAAGTAGCATAATCCCCTTCCTCCAGATGTAGCAAGGCGTCAGTACCCAGCATAGCATTAACAATATCCTAGGAAATGAGCATATTAGCAATCCGCATATCATCTGGGGGTACTGAAGGAGGGTCCTGAGAGGTGTACCCCCAGACCTGACGCAAGAAGCGCTCTCCCAAAAACCAGGCCCTGCCAACTGGCCCTTCGAACAGGATCCTATATCGGGAGGCACCCCACCCTCCGGCAAACTAGAATCGGAGGCCCTCACCCAAAGGCGCCCAGGGCTGCCATGAAATCTGCAGATAACAGGTGCATAAACCAAATAGAAATCGAAGATGTACAGGACAAATCAAAGATGAAAACAGAAAGAACTGAGAGTTCTGAAGTACCTCCGATGAGCGCACCGTGTCGAAATACTGTCGCAGGTAAAGGAGAGACTCCCGAGGTCTTGGCCGGTGCCGGCCCTCAAACACAAGTGAGTACGGGGTCATGAGAGGTCCCGCTACCAACATCTCCGGGGCCAATGTCGAGAAATATACATAGACCCACAGCTGTAGAAAACAAAGCAGAATGTGAAATGCTGAGGGCAAAATGCACGATACAGAATATAAAGTGCGCCGTGTGTGCAATGTGCAAGTAATGAGGAGCAGAAATGTAAATCAAGAGGGCAGAAAGTACCTCCCAGGCTCTCCAGTAGCCGCCAAGTAAGTCCCCTCGTCCGCGGGAAGTCGCGCTCATATAGCAATAAAGGGTAGCCAAGCCGGCACCACCCCAGTCATACTGCTTGACCTGTGACAGGTCCACCAAGGCGCTCAGCAGATAAAGCCCAACGGTGTTCCCTCTATCAGCAAACAGAGTGGTCCCGAAGAGGAACATCAAAAAGCCGCGGGCATACTGTGCCGCCTCATCAGGAGTCCCGGGCTCCATCTCCACCCGCCGGAAATGGGAAGAGAACCAGGTATATCGGACTCTCCCCGAAGCTCTGTCAACAGGCGGGCGAGCCCCCAGCAGATATATCCAAGCGGCCTCCCACTCGCCCATGTCCTCATCATATGGGATCGCCCAACCTCCCACATCGAGGCCGGTCAATACAGTGAAGTCAAAAGGGGTCATAGTCATGTCCCCAATGGCAGAGAAATGGAAAGAGTTGGTGGTGTCCCACCATCTCTCCACCAGGGCGGCCATCAGCGTCCTCCTGGCAGGACAACGGGATAACCCAGCACAGAAAGGCCCAAACCCCGTCAAGTCGACCAAGTCCCGAACGGCCTCCGGAAGCTCAACATACCAGTCTCTCGCCGCAGTAGAGCCATACCCCCGCACATTGCAGGAAGTCACCTGCATTCAGAATGAATAGGTGTTTCAGAATTAAGAATAAGCTGCGTGCAAATGAAATGAATGAGTTGCGTGTTCACAAGTGAAATGTGTGAGCTGTGTGTTCAAAGTGTGATGAATAAAGCTGCGTGCAAATGTGATGAATAAGCTGCGTGCAAATAAAATGAATAGGCTGCGCGCAAAGTAAAGTAAGTGGGCTGTGTGCTCAGAAAGTCAGTGTTTGGGCTGCGTGCTTAACTCTCAATCAGTGTGGACTGCGTGTTCACTCTCAAACTGGACTGCGTGTCCAGAAAAATCAGTGTTTGGGGTGCGTGCTCGACTCTAGATCAGTGTGGGCTGCGTGTTCACCTTCAAATTGGACTGCGTGTTCAGAAAATCAGTGTTTGGGCTGCGTGCTTGACTCTAGATCAGTGTGGACTGCGTGTTCACCCTCAAACTGGACTGCGTGTTCAGAAAAATCAGTGTTTGGGCTGCGTGCTTGACTCTCAATCAGTGTGGACTGCGTGTTCACCCTCAAATTGGACTGCGTGTTCAGAAAATCAGTATTTGGGCTACGTGCTTAACTCTCAATCCGTGTGGGCTGCGTGTTCACCTTCAATTTGGACTGCGTGTTCAGAAAATCAGTGTTTGGGCTGCGTGCTTGACTCTAGATCAGTGTGGACTGCGTGTTCACCTTCAATTTGGACTGTGTGTTCAGAAAATCAGTGTTTGGACTGCGTGTTCAACTCTCAATCAGTGTGGACTGCGTGTTCACCCTCAATTTGGATTGCGTGTTCAGAATATCAGTGTTTGGACTGCGTGTTCAACTCTCAATCAGTGTGGACTGCGTGTTCAGAAAATCAGTGTTTGGGCTGCGTGCTTGACTCTAGATTAGTGTGGACTGCGTGTTCACCCTCAATTTGGACTGCGTGTTCAGAAAATCAGTGTTTGGACTGCGTGTTCAACTCTCAATCAGTGTGGACTGCGTGTTCAGAAAATCAGTGTTTGGGCTGCGTGCTTGACTCTAGATCAGTGTGGACTGCGTGTTCACCCTCAATTTGGACTGCGTGTTCAGAAAATCAGTGTTTGGGCTGCGTGCTTGACTCTAGATCAGCGTGGACTGCGTGTTCACCCTCAATTTGGACTGCGTGTTCAGAAAATCAGCGTTTGAGCTGCGTGCTTAACTCTCAATCAGTGTGGACTGCATGTTCACCCTCAATTTGGACTGCGTGTTCAGAAAATCAGCGTTTAAGCTGCGTGCTTAACTCTCAATCAGTGTGGACTTCGTGTTCACCCTCAATTTGGGCTGTGTGCTCTAAAAATCAGTGTTTGGGTTGCGTGCTTAACTCTCAATCAGTGTGGGCTGCGTGTTCACCTTCAAATTGGACTGTGTGTTCAGAAAATCAGTGTGTGAGCTGCGTGTTCAACCCTCAACCTGTGTGTGCTGTGTGTTCACAATCAATTTATGGGCTGAGTGTTCAGAAATTCAAGTGATTGAACCGTGTGTTCAGAGTGCAAACAGAATACAAGAACAGTTCATAATACGTTACAGAAAAGGTAAAAAACGAAGTAAATACCTCTCGTGCCTCGTGGGAGAGATGATACTCAGGCTCCCGCAGGAGGAGATCCCTGGGCGCTCGCTCGTCGAACTCGGTGAAATGATGAAAAACGGCCCGCGGAAGAATATGTACTGGTGGATCATACCTCTCGGGTATGAAGGGACGAACCCTCGGAGGCGGAGACATGATGTCAGGCTCACCTCCGGCGCCTGGAGAACCTCCGCCGTGAGGAAATTAACCCGCCATTTCCAAAAAATCTGCAAAAGGGGCAAAAATGAGCAAAAATGAGAAAAAGTCAACAAAAGTCAACTCTCGGGAAATGAAAAAGTCAACAAAAGTCAACTCCCGAGAAAATCTTCCAAATATTGAGATAAACTCACCTTAAGTGGCGAAAATGAGAAAAGAAGCCCCGAAACCAAAATTTAATCGGTTCAAAGTGCTTGAAACTAAAATATTTCGCGATAACAACTTGCGTGGGACGTTGGAAAACGCGTATAGAGCACAGATTTGAGGGAGAAAATGGTTTGGGAAGGTAGAGAGGAGGATTTCGAAGCTGCAAAAGTGAGCTCAAAGTGTTTGGGTGGATGTATTTAAAGAAAAGAGGCTAAAAGGATAAGATTGCCCCCGGATTAGGCAAAGTGGCCGGCCGGCCACTTTTTCTAGCTGGCCGGCCATTTACTTTTCAAGAACTAGCCGGCCACCTCCCCCTCCCCATAAAACTGGTCGGTGGTGTTCCCCACATGCCCCCCAAGGTGCCTGCAAATTTTGAGGAGGATTGGAGTCCCCGGGACCTGAAAAAGTACAAGAGAGGTGCACTTCCTGTCGCGAAATCGCCCCGCCGGGACCTCAGCTTCGACTTCCGATGTGTGTCTCATCGTTACTCATCAAAAGTGAGATGTATCCTTTTTGAACATGTTGTAACTCCTCCGGGAGGTGAATCGGAGGCCGCGATCGAGTCGCCCTCGCCGAAACGCGCATTTCCTTGCTCATTGTTTTGTGACGAACGTGCATCCTGGTTTGTACTTGTTTTGCATTATCATGCACATAACTTGCATTCTCATGCACATACTTGCATTGTTATGCACGCCTCTTTGACATCACCGAGCCTCCATGCTTGAAACCGCGTTGTCACGCGATTTTCTTCCCGCATTGCGATGCACTTTTCTGTCAACACCATGATTGTCTGCATTCGATATCACATTGAACATATGTTGTTAGATATGCTGTGCTTGTTGAGTTTCTTTATTTTGCAGGCACGATATTGTATGTATGGTTCATTTGAAGCTGGTGCGACCAGACGAATCGCGCAGGTATCGTATCTTCTCCGTGTGAGACGTGGCGAGGATTGAATACTTCTCCGCATTCTTAACTACATAAAATGTAGTTGTTGCTTTGCATTCTTGCTTAAAACTGTTGCATCTATTTGCGAATACTTGCTTCATTACAGCTTGCTGCATTTGCATGATCATGAATTACCTTCGGCTTCTTGCATTGTTGGTTGCATTTTGCCCCTGCCTGCGGGCACACCTGTGATATTTTGTATATTTGTCTAAGTCTTCAGCCTTGTCAAAAATGGGTCGTCTCTGGGCTTTGACATTCACTCCCGTCACTTATGACTTTCGAGTTCTGTCAAAGAGGGGCAACTGTAGACACCCCATTTTTGACTGACCCTGAGACTCAGACGTCACCAGTTGAGCACTCGGTGATATTGCATATTGTGCTTGTTCAGAAGTTTCAGAGTCTCGGCTGCGAGCCTTGCCTCCGGACTTCCGGACTCTCTTGTGCTTTGCTTCGGTTTGCGAACCAGGCTCTGTTTTCTTTGTTTTCTCTTCCCGAAGGGAGGGAGAGGTCTTGTAGATCATCTCTTAGTGGCCGTAGGCTACGTTTCGTGGCCGTAGGCCATTTTGTCCGTTTGGAGCCCGGTTTTTGGTTTTTCAGAGCCGTTGACCGTGTGCCTCGGTTCGGGACCGCCTAACCACCTCCGTTTGCCCCGATTTTTGGCATATATCTTATTTTTTCCCTTTTGGGGGACACTGTGGTTCGAGAAACCGACTTCGTGGTCGAGCACCACTTCCGGTGCCTAACAGTCAGTTTTCGGGGCCTCGGGCTGCGCGCTTCGGCCCCCGAACCTTCATTTTGCATCGGTTTTGGTTCATTTTTGGCAGGGACCTCTGTTTCATTGCTAGGAAGGTCATAGAAGGATGGGAGGCCAGTAATTGTTCTGTCAGCCAACTTTATCCCTTCATCGCCCGATTTTGTTCACTTCAAAGCCAATGTTGAACACTCTTGGGCCATTTTCTTGCACCCTAAACCCCATATCTGTGATGTACACATCTGGGAGGCCACCAATATTTGGTGGCCGGCCAGTAATTGTTGTTGACCCTTTTGAACCCCTTTGAAAAGTGGGTTGTTCTCTCTCTTGGTTCACCTTCTCCAGTTTTTGACCACAGGGTTGTGTTGTGCACACATCAGAGGCTACCTTTTTGTGGTGGCCGGCCATTAATCTTGCTTGACCCTTTTGACCCTTGGCCGGCCGGCCATGGGAGGTAGCCGGCCGGCCACCTGGAGCTACAATAGCTAGCCGGCCATGATCCTTACACCCTGTTCCTTACAGCTGTGTATTCATTTCCCCCATATTCTGAATCCGGGGGGCTGCTTTTTGGAGGGAAACTTGGTTGGTATTCCCTCCATTTTTCCCCCCCTTTTTCCCCTAATTTTTGCCTATATAACAGGGCCTCCAGCTCTGGTATTAGGGTTACAAAAATTCCCTCTAAGGCCTTTGCATTATATCCCTCGCCCTCTCCACTTCCAAGCTTAAAACCTCTCAAACCCTACACCATTTCTTCATCAACCCATAGCCCCACCCTTCCATCCTCCAATTGAGCAGTTTGAGGGTGTTCTCCAGAGCCTAAGAGTGTTGCATTTTGGTCCAAGAGTTGCCTAAAGTTTGGTCTTCAAGGGTAAGCGACATTTTCCCTCTTTTAATCTTGTTTTTGCATGTTTTTTTAGCCATATTTGCTTGCTGTTTTGGGCCCCAACCCTAACTATAAATAAGCTTATTTTGAGCTATTTTTCATGTTTGTTTAAGGGTATTTACCTGTTTGAGGTCTCCTTGTTGCACTTGCTTCATTATCTCTTTTGTATGCCTATTGCTTGTGTAGTATTTTTGGCCTATGTATAAACTGTTTTGAGCTCCATCATGAACTGAAAAGTGGCTTATTTTGAGCCCTTCTTCAATATTGTTGAAGGGCTCATTGCTGTTTGAGGCTTTAATTTATCACTTGCCTTTATATCTCTCTTTTGGCTCCATTTTTGCATGATTTATTAGCCTCTTTTTCTTCTGTTTTTGGACTCTGGTCCGAACTTAAAATGGTCTTATTTTGACCTCCTCTTCATGTTTCATTAAGGATATTTCACTGTTTGCGGCATCCTTTATATACTTTGTGTTATATCTCTCTTTTTGGC